AAGTATAAAACTTCTATTTTACGGGTGGCCAGCATTCAAGTCCAGGCATCTCTTTGGACAAGAACCAGCGTCACCTCCCATTTTACTAAGACTGTACCATTCAAATAGAATAAGCAGCATTACTGTAAGTGACACTCTGATGATTTGCCTCCACTTTCCTCCACTAAAATCAACACACGACTACATATTTTAGGATCTAGTAATAAGCAGAATATATGGAGTGAGCATAGAAACAGTAAAGAAATGACAAGGAACCCCCAAATAGAAACACACAACCAAAATAAACATTACAGGGTTGCCACAAGGCAGGGAAATGTCAGGGAAAACAAAATGTGTCAGGGAAGTCAGGGAAATGTCAGGGAATCGGATGCTGTGTCAGAGAAAAACAGCCGTCAACATAATCTTGGGTGCTCGGAAAGGTCTGACTGCCTATCTTGACCTGCTCACAGAGACTTAAGATGTAGGAAATTGTCAGGGAATTTCATTTTCCCATTCTTGTAGCAACCCTGATTTACCAAACATGACTCAACCATAATGTATTGATATTTTTTGTTATTAACATAAAAAAGTCAAAACTTACCAGATTCATGCTGTGTGCTGTGATGCCAACTCAGCATACATTGGGTGACGCATAGGCTGCTTAGCTGATGTTGAGCACAGATGCAACTATTGGACAGTCTTCCAGCAATCATCACAAAAGGTACCTGAAATCATACAGATTAGTTTAATGCTCAATGATTTAAGCACAAATATTTAAGTACATGACTTGAAAATAAAAGTTGTCATACTAAGGAAAATTGTAACGCCTCTCCGTATGGAATTTGACTTACTCACCATGAATAGTCTCACTCCACATTGCTACAATCTACAACAACGGTATGGAAAATGGAAATTATTTGGACATTTGTTTAATTGAAGTCTAGTAATGTGATTTCAAGACCCCATAAAAAGTATACATATGAACACAATTATTACAAATACTCTTTTTCAACGGTTGTCCTCAAAATATTTATTTTATATAAACACAACTTCTGACATACTTGCATAAAAAGATTGTTCACATTAAGAAAACCAATTACACAATTGGAATGGTAACCAACATTTGTAACATGAATTGAGGTTCTTTTACTAGATAGTTGATTTTTAAAATAAGATTACAAATGACCAAAAGACATGTCAAATAAGAGGTGGTCATAAAAAACGGTGTTACAAAGTAGAGTATACTTACATGTCTTAATTGTAATAAGAAAACAAAAATGATCAAATAAACATTTTGTTATGAGCCAACATAATGGACCGCTTTAACAATATACATGACCTGTATAATTTTTTTTAGTTGAATATCTTTGGTGAATGATTTTAATAAAATGTTTTAGCAGTGTTACCACACACTGTGGTCACACGGTTTTCTGATCCCTAAGATTCTGAACAGTGGCAAATTGTCATTGTACGCATTTGATGGTCTCAGGGAAATAGTTTGTTTCTACTCTGTTTCATTAAATGTGAATGAATCAGTTTACAAAGACTGGATTTTGTAATATCAGTGAAAGAAATGGGTAGTTTGAAGTCAACAGTGAAAGCAGACTTTCAGGAACATATGTAAATGCAATTAAGAATAAAAGATAGATGATGGAACCTTCATTAAGAACATAACTAAAGGCAAGGCTAGGATGCATATTCACTGATAAAACAGGATAATATAAATCTTAACATGGATAAGTAAACAAAGGTATTAGATAGACATTTTTCCGAAGCAGCATAAAACCCGTTAAGAGATTCTGACCTCTATCTCAATGAGGCATAGGCACAATGCCACTGTAGATTCATAAGAACTTAAGCTTACTTTAATGTACTGCATGATATACAACTACAAATTATAAGTAAAACAAAAATATATCAACAATACTTATATGCTTAAAATTGAATACTATTCTGGGATGCCATCTTAAAGAGGTCTAGTCAGGATTCTTAAGCCTTACGTAAAGTAAGCTCCCCAAGAATATAAATATTAGAACCATATGAAGCATTATGTATCCATCCATAATGTCATATTTGTAGCGGTAATGTTCAAGGAGGAACACATTTATTGTTTTTAACTGCAAGTCACACTCAGCAATGCAAAAAGCTGAATTCATAATTAGAAGACAACATCTAAATCATATCCTCCGTAGAAGCAGTCTTATCATTTGCCTATCACAATTCTACTTTGAAGTTCTCCTTGAGTTTTTGGGGGGAACATCTTTTGACTATTCATTAAGATACGTAGTATTGTTCAGATCTCACAGAAAAAAGTCAAGTAGAAAAATAATCTACATTGTAGTTAGCTGAACCATCCCATATCTTCCCTCCAGAGCATGACATTCCAAAGCTGCATCCATTGAAAAAAAAAATTTGTAAGGTAAAACATAAAAATTATAAGTTGGTCCAAAAAAATTCAAAATCAACTTTTGGTATGGCAGAGCACATAAAATCTAACATGTGGCACGTAGAAACTTACTACCAAATGGCAAGTTTTACACATTCTGTCAATAATTGGTTCCCTTTTCACTGTGTCTCTGGCTTGTCATTCCGCTCCCCCGGACCCCTCACTCGCGTCAGCTTAATTCTAAGCTTCGGAACGCGGCGACTGTCCGGGGGATCGTCTGAAGGAACGATATGGGATTGGAAATCTCAGTAACTATAGGGGAAAGCGGACGCGGCCTGGGCGGAGTCCTCCACGTCTAGGTACGTGGCGGGGTGCAGGTACGGCATGGAGGAGGGGTATGCAGGCGGCACAGACCCAGCGAGGCCGGAGGGGAGGCTCAGGGTGGGCATGTTAGGGACGGAGGACGCCGCCATGGACGAGAGATTGGTTGGGGCCGACATGTTAGGGGTCACCGTGGGAGTAGGCCGTGAGGGTGGGGACGGGCTGTCATCCAGCGTAATGGTGAGGTTTCCAGAACTCGACACGCCGGAGTTGCCCCCACTCACAGCGTCTGCAACACCAGAAGAAAAGGGGCTCTCTCACATTCAGGATTCATTGCAAGAACAAAAACAGCCTCCTACTCAGAATATGTCCTGCTGACGTTATATATCAACGAATGGAGTTGTTTGAGAACTTGCAATGAACCTGAATACAAAATGTGAACACAATTGTGCGTCTTGGATTCAAAGTACAAAGATGTTTGCAGCTTTCATGTGATGGCAAAGCGTGACAAGGGACTGATTTCAATGCATATTGAGATCAGGGCAAAAGCATGCATATACAATGCAGAATACACAGAGGAGATTGTAGGGGTGAGACTCCTGCATACATCTAGAGACTGCCTTCTAGAATGTATCAACAAGCAGGAAGTATTCAGAATAAAAGCAAAAGAAATGTGCAGTCAAAAAGTGCTTTAATATCAAATTAAATTCATATTACAGGTTAGAATTAAAAGACTAGCTACAATAAGCAATAAAAGTAAGCATAAAAGAATTGGTCAAAAAAGGAAAGATTGAAAGTTCCCGGAATAAAATACGATTAAAATAAGTTCATGTTGAGCTACTAAACAGGCATAATGGTGACAGAAGGAGTCAATAAAGTTACAGAATCTTCCAAAAGTGAATCATCAATTAATATCTCAGATTGATCCTGACCTGCATAAAAGCGAGATGGAGTTGAGGGTAGCTGCTGTGGAGCAGGTGAAGCATTCTTTATGACAGACGACGACGATGATGATGATGATGATGCAGCCTGAGCACTGTGGGCAGGGGTGGCAGCGGTGTCATCGTCTGAGTCACTCAAAGTCAAATCAACAACCACTGCTTTGGGGCCTGATTTCTTGGGTGATGCCTCTTTTACAGGGGGTTTGGTGTCATCATCAGCTGGTATTATCTCTGAAATAGATTTAAAAAGAAATACGATAGAAATTGAGTTTAACAGAGGTTTATGGCTAACAATGATAAGATAACCAATTTGTGAACAATTAATTTTGTCCACTTTATTTGAAACATTTCAAAGAGATGCTTACCTAAATCATCAATTATTTCAACAGTTTCATTTTTATCAACCTGAATGGGGAAGTAATGCAATTAAAAATAGTAATCATTTGGAATGAAACAATTTGAGAAATGTTATGGGGGAAAACAATCTTACCGGAGCTGCTACTTTCTTTTCCTTTTTCACAGTGACAGATCCAGTCCAAGATCCATCAGGATGCAATTGAATTTCATGGCTGTCACTAGGAAGTTTACCACTTTGAATAACATCTTGGAAGTAACTGTAAAAAGAAAACAATTGGTAACCAGAAAAACAAAACAAAAAAACTTCAAAATGTATTTGAAAAGTTGCTTACCCATCAATAACTAGATTATCATACAGGCATTCTTTGTCACAAACAGGACAAATCCATGTTGGTTTCCTTTCATTCATTAGGAGATATAGCGAGGCATCAAAGCATTGTAAATGGATACAAGTTGAAGCCCTACATGGAGTGGACATCCGCATTTTTCCCAAGGGGCACATTAATGAGACCCTAAGTGAGGTGGTAGCAATCTCAGCATCAGCATCACTAAGTTTCTCTTTGACTGTGGGAAAAAACAGAATAGTTAAAGTTTCTAACAGTAGGATCAGGTATGAGACATGAGGAATGACAATACTAACTTAATCCTCTGGTGAAATCAGGGTGGCGCACCCCTTTTGATTTCATCTTTTGGAGTAGCTCTGTTGATGTTAATTTCTTGACAAGATGTGCAGCTATAACATATTGCTTTGCATAGTCAGCTCCCCATTGGACAGTGATATGATTAGCTACAGTAGGGCTTAATTTAACTAAGGGGGAAATATTGACCGGTCTAGGTGGCCTTTTGGGTTCAACATTTGGCCGGTTTGTCGGAATTGGATTCTGAAACAAAGATAGACAAAAATAAGAGAAATACAATTTTCAGTACAGTAATGCCCAAATTATATTTTTGTGTATAATTACTACACAACATTTTAACCTTCAATAATTTGTGTATAATCACGTACCGGTAGACTGCATTGTTTCCCATTAACTTTCACTGCAATACCAGGAGGAAAACAATCATCTTGGTCACAGGATGTTTCTAAGAGACAAAACCTCATTTGTACCTGAGAAGAGAATCTGTGTTAGAGAAATGACATACAGACTTCAGAGGAATTTTCAACTGATTCCTTTTTAATACCTGAACTGTGTACTCATTTTTGGCGCTAATTGTGTCCCTGGACATTGCTATTTCAGTTGCCTGGTGAGGAGTAAGGTGAAATACAAAGTTGCTCTCCTGCATCCGGGCAGAGCCTTGGGGCACTGCGGAGAAACAAGAGAAACAAGTTATAGTTTCATAAAGCAATGGTATAAATAGACAAAATAGAATACCTGAGACCAAACATACTTAGTGTTGATGGTTTCAACAATTCTCCCATCATTTCATAAAATGGCAACTTCTTCAGTCTTACATCAGGATGAATGGGATATGAACCCATGTTAGGAGTAATACTAGGGGCAACAGGTACTGACATTTTGTGTGAAGGCAACTTATTATGAACAGCATTGACAGGTGGTTGGGGCTGGAGTTGCCGAGAAGGTTGTCCATACATTGAGGTAGGATAGGCCCTGTGGTGCTGCTGCAATATTATTAAAAATACAGAGAAATTAGAAGTTCAGGAAACAGAATAAACAAAGAGATGTAGAGTCAGATACTAATTGTTGCTGGTTGGAAGTTCCATTATGTAAATGCCCACTTAAACATTATTACAAACAAGATTAGTTGAACTATCAACAGGCTTTCACTATCCAAATAATCCAATCAATTCAAATGAGTCAATAATTCAAACACACACAAAGCAATAATGACAGCAACAGGTTCCTTTGAATTCTTTTTTTTCTTTTATTTTAGAAACACATGCCTTTAAGATAAATGGTTAGGCATGATAAAAATAAAAGCTACAAATTAAGATTAAAATTTAAACTACACATCTTTTGAAGAGAAAGCTGTAGCTGTAAGTTTGGAAACAAAATGTTATATGCTTTCCGACACTACTGTGTTAGTTTGAATTGTAAAACCTCACACATCTAACACAATGGAACTCACCATCTCTTCATACATAGACTCTGCCCACTTATATAAGAGCGTAGGAAATGTCTCACATTAACTGATCATGTACCATAGAGAAACAAAATATGCAGATGTGAAATAAAAGTAGATAGATTTTGACAATCTCACCTGTGCCTGTTGATGCTGCTGTTGCTGCATGGCTTGTTGAGCATAATACATCCCACTCATGTGAGCTGAAGGGTGTGACAATTGTGATGGGTGGGATGAATGTACTGCGTGGCCTGGGTGCCCTGGATGCCCATGAGCAGAGCCTCCATGTTGCATTGCACTGTGGCTCGACATGCGACCTTGATCAGGAATACCTTGTTGCCGATACATATTGACAGTTGCGGCTTCAGCTTCTCCCATAGACTCTCTATGGAGTTGTAAAAATAGTGAAAACAATAGATTATTAGAACATTAAACTAAAAAATGAGCTGAATGATGTACAGTAGAGAAATGGGTTCCAGGGCTCGGATTCAACATTCAATCATGAGAACGAAATTTAACTGTGCTGCAAAATCTCAGCTCACTCTGCAGAACTAGAACACACAGCATACCTTAACAAATACAATATAGACTTTTGTTTCAGCTGTTTTAGAAAACATTCTATGCATCAAAGATGCTGCAGAAATCATTTGGCAAATGAATAAAAATAACTTAATAGAAACATAAATGGAATAAAGTTGAAGCTTGGTCAATCACTACACTGCTGTAGTTCAAATATGATTGCCATATGACTATCTCTTATGTTTAAGGATATCAAAACAATCATCACGAATGGAAATGGAGTTGAACCTCTGAACACTTTTGACTGTCCGAATCAAGCAAAGTCAAACTTACTGAATGGTTTTGAAGAGTTCCCGTATTTTCATAGACACGGGCTCAGAACGAAGGCGGAGGAGTTCCAAGGCTCTAGCCTGCAATTCTGTCTTGCGTCCAGACTTGTTGCGTCCAGCAAACCCCAAGAGCATCTGAAGTTCAGAAACTCGGAAGCTCATTAGCATATTCTGAAACAAAAAGAGGACAAATGACTTAATTGTCCATAAATATGAACACTGGGTGTGAACATGAAAGCAGAAGCCTCAATCATCCCAAAAATAGCACGACAGAATATTTAATATGGTGAGTGAGGGACAACGAAATGTAAGACGAAAAGTTGCAGATCGCAGAAAAGAGAATTGTTAAAAAACGAGACCTAGACACATGACGATGTAAACAAAGCGAAACACTGAACAGCCGATCGCCATGTTCGTCGGAACCCGAAATCAACTACAGAAAGTCAGAGTAGATCGAATCATTTTCAAAATAACACTGGTAATCTTTGCGGAATACAGGCATCAGTTAGATGTAATGCATAAATACTGAGTGAAAGCCATGCCGCGGCCGCAATCCGTTTCGCGCAACAGCATACCTAACCTAAAAACAAATCGTGAGGGGAGCGGGGGCGGCGCGGAGGGGGAGGGGAGGAAAATCTGCCCTAGGTTCGTACCCTTAATTCACCGACGTCTGCCACATCATGGCTGAGTGTCCTTTTTCGACTCATTCCTCTAAGAAAGTCATACGGTCCCACTAGTTGTAGACATTGGTGCAATTCCCACCACTACATAGTCAAATTGAGCACCACACAACCACAACCATAGCAAGCGATGAGAAATCAGGTCTACCAACGGACGAGGGGGAAACGGGATGATTCGTGTGATGCGAGAAAATGCAAGAATCTCCGGAAAAAGCCGTAAGTCAAAGAGTGCGTCATGAAAATAGTTGACTCAGGGTCACTAACTATCAGGAATGCAAGGACTTTGATTGACTAAATCCATGTCAAGTGCGACAAATTGGGCGATACCCCGCGCGTGAGGAGCCATCCCCCACCCCACCCCCACATTTTTCTGCGGACATAGTGACGTAGAGTATCTCCGCCCCCGCAATTTCATTTTTTTTTCCTTTTTATTTTTTTTAAGTAGTCAAGGATGGGTGAGGGAAGAACCAAATCTGAACTTCTCTCACTTATGAGAGAGGAGGTGATGAATGCCCTAAAAATTTGACTTGAAGTTATCTATAATGAAATAAAATACTTTGTAAAGTGATTTCAAAAACTCATTTATACAAAGAAATATTTGACACGTTGAGTCCCACATGGTCACACATATGGCCTGTTTTGACGACCCCTCTGCGACTCAAGGTGTAAATGACTTGCTGAGTAGAAATACACATGTGAATGGTAATTGAATTTTAATTTACTGATTTATTATATCTAAAGCCCATTTCACATACATTGCCCTGCCTTGATAAAATTTATCAAATCAGTTAGATCTCTCATAAATTTGTTAATGTCAAATCTCAGGTCACGTGAAAAGAGAAGGAAATTTGTTGTGATAGGGCTTAGAGTGTTTTTCTGTTGTTTCTTTTTCAAATAGAACTTAGACCTTTTTTGGCCGTGTTTTAAATGGACTCATGTCTATGTAAAATTGGTTCAATGTGTTGGTATGTGGAAAGAACTAACTTAGTTTTGTAAAATATGTCTATTAAAGAAAATACATCAAGTATTTCTGAGCTCTAGTTGTGAATATGCTCATAATACTGGACGACAAGAATTCAGTAGAAAATTACAGTAATTCAGTAGAAAAATTAGATATTACTTACCCTCAACTCTGCAGTGCTATCTTCATCTGCCTTTTTAGCTCTTTTGGCTGCTTGTGCAGATTCCTTAGCTTGCCGTTGCCTTTGCTGTTGCAGTTGAAGAGCCTGCTGCTGTTGTAAGCGCTCCAAGCTTTGTTGGGCCAGCACTTGCTGACGCCTCGATGACCTCTCACTTCTAGGGTAGTCCAGGTCATTGTGCTTGTCCCCCATCCAAACTATGTGGCTGGCACTGTTTGACAGGCAGCTCACCAAAGCCGCACAGAAACTCGAATAGCCTGAAAATCAAAATGTCAAACTGAATTGATGGAAGATTCAAATTCAAGGTTAGGTAATTTTCTTTGTTACTAATGATAAATTTAGAACTATAACAAGTAGAGAACGAATTGAATACAGCAAAACTGGTACAATTTATGATTGATTCGTACTTAACCCCAAGGAAAGCACAAGATACATTAAAGAGCCACAGTCAATAACCAAACAGTAGTCAAAAGTTGTTGATGTTTGTGCTAATAAATTGTGGGAACAGTACAATAGTTAGACTTCAGTAATAAAAAGTATGTATGATTAATAATAAGTTTGAAATTTATTGGTCTTTGAGAAAAGTTATCAATTGCCTTAATGTGAAGTATTTATTATTCAAGGAGAATGAGCCTAAAGGATAAGCACTTCTGCAGTTTTGGGGTTTTGGGTTTAACAGAAAAAGCCCTCTCTTTGCTTTCAGGAAATTCAAAGTGGTACCATCTCACTCACATTTACATGCAGTGCAGTGTTCACACTCGAAAAATTATACGTAAAATACTAGCAGCTGTCGGTAGGCTTTGTAAAGTGATGCCTTGCGCATGCCACCAAACGGCCAATAAGAGTAGGAAGGGATAGCCGAAAGGGGTGCTTATGAAAATCAATCCACATTTAAAAGGTTAAGCACTCTGCCTATTGACCAACGGGCGAAATGCGGAGGTTACTCGCTAGAAGTCGAGATCACGACTCCATCCAGGCAAGAGAACGTTTCTTATTTCAATTTTGAGAAAGGAAAGGAACACGAGCACGAGCGACACACGGCAACGCGCAGGCCACACGATGAAAAAACCTGCTGACTTGACGAGAGAGCTGCCAACGGAGCCGACGGATATCACCATCGGAATCAAATGTGAAACAAGGCCACAAGGCTGTTACGGGGCAGGGGGTGGAACGACGCCTGACTAGAGGATCCTTCTTTCCTATAAAACCTAGACCGGTATGTATTTTCTTGTCATTGCGGCTAAAGGGGGTCCAACAGACATTTGTTCAAGCCTTCGCGCCACGGAGGCAAAGCTTAATGGCCTCTTCCAGCGCGCCAACCAAACTGAACCGAAACCGAACATGTCTTACAAATGGTGTCTTCTTTTTCGCTGCTTGCTAAAAGATTAAGGTTTGTTTACTGACTACTGCAAATGCAGTTAGAGTTTGTTGATTCCTTTTTTATATCTAGGAATCGTGAGAACTTAGGTTGTAATTACCAAGCTAAGGTAGAGCGCTTTTCCAGTTTACCTTTCTGTTGTCCTTTTCCCTACCTTTTACTGTCAGTTGAAACCTGGTTACAAGTAGCTGGCTGGGAGTGGAAGTCCTCCCCCTTCCCTCGCCTGTTTACCTAAGATGAAGCTGATAACGAAGTGCGGCGAAGGGCCAAGAGGCCTTGCTGGCAGGACTGCGTGCTCGGCTCGGCGAGCGGCGACTGTTCCCCCACCAGAATGGTTTTCCCGTCTCCCCCACCATCGTCGGCAGCGTGGCCGAGTGGTCTAAGGCGCTGGTTTTAGGCACCAGTCCGAAAGGGCGTGGGTTCGAATCCCACCGCTGTCAGAACACTTTTGTGACTATGATACGCAGACATTCTCAGGGGGCGCGATTCCGAGTTGGTTCCAAGTATTGAATCCTGTTGCGAGGCTGCCTACAGCATTTTTGAGCGGCGTCGTGGTTTTACAGGACTGGACTGAAGTGCGCGACTCTTAGTGCCTTGGCGGCAAAGATTCCCCCGACTCTTGCCGCCCACGCCCACTGGAGGGGGGAATGACCTTACGGTGTTCACGGGGTAATCTGCCACAGTTTAGACAAGATACCCGGGTGGGCGGGAGGGTTGGAAAGGGGGAAAGGAGGGGGGATGCGGCAGACAGAAGGGATGGCAGGTACATCGTTAATCTTCGACGTCTTGTAATTGCTTGAAATAGCGCCAAAACCTGGACGGACTTACGAAGGAGAAGAGGGAAACCGGAGGGGGGGGGGGGGGGGGAGAGAGAGAGAGAGAGAGAGAGAGAGAGAGAGGGAGAGAGAGGGGGGAAGGGGGGGGGGGGGGGGTTAGAGAGAGGAGCAAAGGCGCCTGCGCGGCACGGTGGGGTGAAAGGTACATTTAACATTACCCTCACATACAATAATAACTACAATACCCTATTCAAAATAGCCATCCCACCTCCCACAGCAATGCAAGTTGCGCTGTGGCTTTGCGTTGTTTTTGATACAAAAGTGTTTTTGAATCAAGTATGCGCGTGGAGGGTGGTGCAAATATTGTGAAATTTGGCAAGTCTATCGGCAGCGACCATAGATGAAAGCTCCAGCCCCATGTCGTCTCGGCCGCTGCAGTGACCTGCCCTCGCGTGCCACACTAATACGGCGACGCCTGAAATGGCAAACAGAAAGAAGAGCAACATCAACAACAACATCAATCAAGCTCGCAATAAATTGAGCTCCACCGACTCGACCCGACCCTGCAGCGAGGCGAACCGAGGCGACAGGCGATTAGTGTCAGTAGAGAATGTGCACCCTCACCCCCTTTACCCGGGTCGGGGGGAGAGTTCCACCGGCAGCGCCGGCCAGAGAGCAGCCAACAGTCGGAAACGAAACTAGACGTGTCGGACCGAGTGAAGTGAATTCACGTAGCTCCGGGATCGTTCACAAAAGCCCGTCCATCACTAAGTCCGTCCCCTGCACAGCGAGCGAGGCAGCACGGACCACTACAAGAGCTTTGGTAACTGAGGATCTCATCATCCCCCTCTACGACCCTTATAGACGTATATTTTCGGTGGTGAAACGTTCATTGCAGCTGCTGCACTCGTGTACTCCGGTACCGGAGGACGGTTTTGCGCCAGACGAGTGGCTAGGCTAGGCAACCCGCTCGCGCGCCGTTATGAGGGCAGTATAATTGGTCGGCTGAGGGTGGAGGATGTGCTATGTGCTACCTTTGGGGAAAGTACGTCCGTCATTCTCCGCTACGGACCTGTGAAGTTCAGCAAGCGCAAGGTCTCGTGGCGCCTGATGGGTAGGCAACATCTTGGCTGCAGTGCGTGCGTGTACTGCGGGGTGGCCCACCCCGAGTCTCGCAGGCGCCGAGCTCCCGTAAATTACCTAATGAATCCGAGAAAAACGGAGTACTCTGTGGAAGAGCCCTTTGCTCCCGTAAAAGAATGGTATTTTCTCCGAATAATATCATGCCGTCTTTACCAGTTTCAAAATCCACACGTTTACACATTTCGGGCCATGTTAATTAGTAGTCACTCGGTACTGCTCCTGTGCACACCCGATCTCCATTTTCTTTTTGTTTTTTTCGCTACGAGACTTGATTGTGTTCTGTCCCTATTCTCCCGATTCTCTCACTTGTGCTAAAAAGTGCAAACGGTCTATTCATAATGAATAAAAACATTCCAGTCTTGCACAGCACACCTGACTACTCTAACCGTGTCCTGTGTGTTTCTGTGCAAATGTTCGTGCTATGCTAAACCTTTCATTTCGTTTCGGACCCTCTCTGTCGCGTTACTTTAGCCTGATGAGCGAGCAGCGAGACTGTTCCAGCGCACGCACGCATATGCATACGACTCGCTGCTCCACAAGTGTATAACGGTCGGGTACGTGGCCGCACATCCCGAAGCGTCCCAAAGCCATCGGCCCGGGACCATACTACTCTTTGGGGTCCTTTGTCCCGCTCTTTATGTCGCGCGCCCCCACCGCAGGCCGCCGCAGACACCGCCGGGGCGCACCGCAACGCTTTCCCTTCGCGCGCGCTCCCGGCTCCCTTGAATAATTATTGTCAGCGGCGACATTTCGGCCGTGCCGTAAGGCGTGCGGTGTCGCCGTCGGGTGCCGTGTGGGCGAGTAGCAAGAGGAGAGCTTCCTGTCCCGATTCGAACGACCGCCGGTGGTAGTAAGGCCCTTCTGCCAGCTTGGGCAAACGCGCCGTGTTGTGCGTGGGGTCGAAACCACAAAATGAAAATAAAACCCTTCAAGAACGCGCCAAGTACCCCCCCCCCCCTCCTCTTCCCCCATTCCTACACCTTCTCCACCTCGTTCTAGCATTGAGCTGACAGGGGTGGTAATCGACCTCCTCCAGGCGCCCAACAGCACGGCAGGCAGGCCCGCGCATCGCACGAGAGCGTTGGGCGGCCTACCTCCCGGGCGCTCCCCGCTGACCTGCGCGCCTCCTGGGGAAGTCCTCCGTACAGTACGCTACGGCCTACGATTATCCTGCTTCGAGGAAGGGGAAGGGGCAATAATGGTGAAAGGCAACCGTTAACTTTTTGAATAAAATGTTTATTTTACATCATTGGCTGAGTCCATCAGACGTGTTTGCTATATATATAAGTATACATAGAATAATATAAAAATATACACAAGTTGCACTAAAAACACAAAAAAATGACTCTATGCCAACGCAATTAATAAAAACAGTTTAAAGGGAGAAACACACAATATGCAGGCTGCAACCAACAATTTCTGTACATCAAATAATCACAATTTGCATTCGGCTGAGAGAATCTAACATTGTGATATCAAATCAATGAACACAATAATAACTCAGAATCAACACAAAAATCAGAATATAAACTATAATAAAATTACAAGTAATAATAATAATAATTACTATTATATCAATTATCTACATACAGCAATAAGAATTTGGTTTGTTAGGGCTGCACATCTAGATGAAAATTTGTTCATGTTCTTGACAGACTTCCTCTGTCATGAGAGTAGCATGGGTATATAAATAAATATTTTTGGACATTTACATCCTCTATGCATGCTAAAAGACAAGAAAATGATCACATAAATTTACTTTAACTTATAAAGGAGAAGGCAGAGCCTTCAGACTTAGTTTGAAAAGGCAACTTTCTCTTGTTGCCAGTGCGAAATAGATATATCAATGAAGAAACATTGTAAATTTTCATCTTGCGGACGAGCCCGCGTGACTAAGCTAGGGAATGTCATCGCTACGTGCGAACGGAGCCATAAGCTGAGATCATCCTTGACAACAAAACAGAGTAATTAAATAACAACTCCACACCATACACAACAAAAATGTAAACAGATTTTCACACTTGTGAGTCAGTGTCCTAAACGATACACGAGGGCAAGGAAAATTTATCATCAGTAGATGACAGTTTTGCTAGAGGCTGCTAGGGAATAATGGAACTACTCGGCTACTTTGACATTTTTCTACATAATTTACTATTTCTCTAAGGTATAATTAGAAGGGAGAGGGAACTAGAGAGAATACAAGTGCCTGTCCATAGACTATTTTCCCCAGGCTCCTAAAGTTTTATCACCACATACTCCACATATACTCAACTCTCTGGTATGGGTAGCCTAGTCTTTCATGACATTCACATTTACCCCCGGGTACAACACTAGCAAAGACATTTCTCATATTCTATGGCAAATGGCTACCCACCCGAAGCTTACCACATTAAAAATTACACACTTTCAATTTACTTACGCTACTCTTTGAAAACATCACGGTATTCACCTGATGCAAAATAACAAAAAAATAATAATAAAAAATAAAAAAGGTGGGGTACTATTGTGTAGTATGTACAATCAATTGCAACATTTAACATACATACATACACAAGCATACATACATACACACTCTCACCCATGGAAAAACACGAATTTGAATGTAATGTAGGAGTCAACAACAATTCACGTTGTAGTCCGGTTCCAAAGTTCCACAGGGATATAAAATTAAAACAAAACTTTGTATGTACAATCAACGGCCGCTTCTCCGCTACCACGAGTCCATCGGGGCAAGTGGATGGCGTGGGAGTTGACAAGAAAACCTTGAAAGGCGAAGAAGATAAAGAGGGCGAGAAACGGTAGAAATCTGAAAGCGGACTACAAAATCGAGAGGCCTAATAGGGTTGTGCGCTCTCTACGAGACGCGGCTGGTTCGCGGGACCGCCTGCTGGGCAAAGAGTACCCCTTGGTACATGATGCCATTGATGTCCATGCTCACCACTAGGGAGTTATCCGACCCTGGCCGGCCGTCACCTGCAGAAAACAAACAAATCATTACAAATCGTGCAAAACAAATAATAAATTGAACAAAAATGTGCAACAAAAATGAGGTGCAAATGAACGCCGTGACTGTCTCGTGACTCGTACCTCTGCTGTTGATCTTGATGTGTGTCCCCGCGGCCTTGACGGGGCTGGGGCTGTGCGCGTCCTCCTCGCGCTCCCTGTCCTGCAGGGCGGGCCTCTTGGCCGGGGGCAGGAACGCCTCCTCCGGCTCCCGCTTGATGGTCGCCTCCCTCTGGCTCTCCCGCTCCCGCTGGCTCTCCCGCTCGCGCTCCCGCTGGCTCTCCCGCTCCCGCTGCGCGCGCGCCACCTCCCGCTCCCGCTCGCGCTCCCGCTGCTGCAGCTGCTCCCGCTCGCGCTGCTGCTGGCGCTGCACGCCCAGGTTGAGCGCCTCGCGCTGCGGCTCGGCCGGCCCCGGGTGCGCGGGGTGCTCCGCGTCGGCCGGGTCGCCGCCGCCGCCGCCGGCGATGGCGCCGCCGAGGCCGCCGGCCAGCCCGCCCAGCGAGCCGAGCGCGCCCGCCGCGCCCATGGCGCCCAGCGCGCCCGCCGCGCCCAGCCCGGCGCCCAGCGTGTTGTTGTTGTAGATGTTCCACAGCGTCAGCCGCGACATCTCCAGCGCGTTCATGGTCGCCTCGCGCGGCGAGGTGGGCGGCGAGCCCTGTCTCGAGAGGGGCGGCGTGCCGGCAGAGTTGCGCAGCTCCTTGCTGATGAGCTTCATGTACTCGGCCATCCGGTTCTCCAGCTCGGCGGGGGTGGGCCCTGCAAGACAAAAGCAACACACACCGAGGTGAAGGGACACGCCGCACACACGGGATCTCTCTGACATTCAACAAATAAGTCGCGGCATAATGCCCCGGGTGAGAGGCGAGCGCGCCGCCGCGCGCCGTGCCCGGGACGCCGTTAGGCCCCTTTATCCACCTGTCGCGCCCCGGCCGAGCGCCGCGCATAATTAGTGCCCTGGCGACGACGTGACGGTCATTGATATGATGATTACCGTGACGCGGACACTCCCACACGAGACACAGGCGGTAACGAGAGTGTCCCGCACACACACGTTTCCAGGCGCGACACGTTCGCGAACACGGGTCCCGCCGAAGGGTACTTCACTACAAATCCAATCGTTTTCGTTTTTCATGATTTTTAATTTGATTTTTCCTAAGGTTTTCTGATTTATTCTTATCTTATCTTTCAATTTTTTCCGGGTTTGTTGATTTTTAATAAATAATGTTTTGACTGATTTTTTTTTTGAAAGACGGATTTTTCGAGTGAAGTACCCCTCGGGGCCCTCTTTTCATGCATGAGCGTCTCCTCACCTGATCCTGGGGGCGGCAGCAGCGGGTGGTGGTTGTTGTGGTTGTAGTGGCCGTTGCCGTTGAGCAGCCGCCCGCCCTGGGTCACCAGGCTGAGGGGCGACATCTGCGAGGGGTGGGCGGGGTGCGCGGGGTGCGCCGGGTGGGAGGGGTGCGCCGAGAGCTGGACGCCGCCGGGCAGGCCGCCGACGAGGCCGCCGATGAGGCCGCCGCCGCCACCGCCCCCGCCACCGCCGCCGCCGCCGCCCGGCGTCCGCTGCACCATGTCGGCGTACGTGCCGTACGACGACCGCCGCCCCTCGCGCCGGTTGCCGTCGATGGCCGCCTGCAGCTCGGCCGGCGTCGACAGGCGCCGCTTCTCGCACTCGTAGGGGTAGAGGTACTTCATGTACCTGCAAACAGAAGAGAACGTCGCGGAGGGTTAGTAGACGACATGGAAGAGCACGGGAGCACGGGAGCACGGCGCCTGCGAAACTCGAGATAGGCCACCGCGCAGCGCGCAGTACACGGATGCATTGCAGGCGAGGTGATGCCTACCTACCAGGCGCTATGAGGAGTGCCGGTGCGGTGGAGGCTAAACTTGGCAGGCTCGTCACGGCAAATGACGAGCTTACTTTCTGGATGACCCACCCCCGAACGTGCCATAATGCGCCAATAGAACACTAAGTAGAGCACGATGGTTCATCAGACAGCCCCCTGCGCACCCACCACAGGTCGTGAAAACAAAATGGACGAGGCCATTCCAGAAAACCAAACGAATGGCAGCCAGTAGTAGTGTGGCGCGGTGGAAGAATTTGTAGCGTCGACTACTATGCGGCGTCGCGTCCCGTCGCCTGGTGCCTCTCATTTGTCTCATAGTCGGGGCCGCCGCGCCTTTCACATCAGGAAGTGACGGACACACACACACACACACACACACACTGAAGCCTTCGTCGCCGCATTCAAACGGCGGCCCGTCGCGGGGCAAGTCATATGGGAGCCGCGGGAAGGAATAATACCAAAGAGGTGTGAGTACGAGATGTGAAAAATAAGAAAGGACGGGAAAAGTTACACACAGAGAGAGGAGAGGTAAGAGTAAGAGAACTATATAAGGGTAAGGGTAAAAGAGGGAAGTGGATGTGGGTAAGCTTCGACTGTCAGCCCCCATCAGTCACCGCATGGCGCGTATTTCACGTCGCTCGTTTAATGTGGCGGTGGCAGCAGCCAGGAGGAAGAGGGGGGGGGGGGGTGAAGGGAGCAGAGGGGGCACCGACTATGGCGGACAGACGAAGAGGAGCTAGCAATAAGAAAGCGCAGCCCGCACTGGCTGTGGGGGCTGCGACAGGTGAGTCGGGTCGGGCTGGCTTGGCGTCGTCGTGCGTGGTCCACCACTGCACCAGCGGGGCTGAGTCACCGTGTGGTGTTGAGACCCGTGGTGTTACAGTTACAGGAGAATCGCACGCGCGGGTAGCAAACATTCATTTGGGATAGTTGGGGTAAAACTCAGTTGCAGAACAATAAATGACCAGCCAACGCGTTTTGGCAAGAGTGAGTATATAAACTGTCAAAGCGATCAGCCGATGAGCGCTGCACTGCAGGGAGAAAAGATGGGGGAGGGGGAAGATGGGGAGGAGGGCGCGGCGGCGGGCCTCGTCTGGGCTGGCAGGCGGGCCGCGGGGGTCTGTGACATGGCTGCCGCGCGACGCCCCGCGCGTCGGCTGGCCGCTGTCACAGCAGACGACAGCGGGGCGACATTAGAAAACAAACTCGCGCCGCCGCCGCGCTACGCCACGCCACCCTCCGCACGCGGAATCACACGACAAGATGATGCAGCCTCAGGTGGCGGGCGAGGGTCTGGCCAGGGGTTTGGTTGACCGACCGACCACCATACGGGGCTAGCCATCCCCATCATCGAGCCACCACCAACACTCTCCTCCCCCGCCATGCGCGCGTGCAAGAGCAGTGTAGTAGAGCGTTTACCGAGAAAAGCGCGCGCGCAGGCGGCGTCGGCGGGCGGCACGAGCTAGAGAGAATGAATTAGTTGGCGAGAGGGCCTAACTACATCAGGACAGCGGAAGAGACGCGGAGGGGGGGGGGGAGGAGCTGTCTGTCTTGGCACCTCGATGAGTTATAAATAATGATGCTGTGACGCGACCCATATTGCGGGGTGGGGGAGGAGGT